CACATTAGCTGGGCTATTTTCTGGGTTTCCAGACACATTTCAGATGTACTGAGAGCCTGTTATAATATGTTTGGTGGCTTTTGTTAAGCAAATGATACGGTTATCCTTAGGTTTCATTTAATTTCCCAAATGGAACTGTACCCACTTTAAACTTCTTGGCAAAAATAGTTTTGGGGTTTTTTTTCTTATGATCAGAGTTGCTGATGATTTCTTATTCAGGAGCCGATTCAGTTTGTGTGTGTGTGAACTGATAAATGGTGGGAAGCTGTAAATGCTGATGTGTTTGGTCACTGTTGACATGGATAATTGAATTAACTGTAGAATCAGGCTAGTTTTCTGCCTGTGGGGTGCAAAGTGTTCATGGTGTTTGACACAATTTGCTGTTCAGGATGGATATCTTTGTCTTCCACCCCGATAGCTGGATGGTTACATTTGCTCTTCCTGACGTGCTGTCATCCCTTGTAAGCAAGATTAATTAATTTGGCTCCACCTTTGTGTGTGTTGTTCTTGTGCTTCCCTGGTATCCGTGGCTCGGGGCAATGCTCCTCCTCCCATCCTGAGCCCTCTGCCAGAGCCAGGAGCTGTCCTGCCAAGGGGCTGGCACGGGAGCTGCTGGGCTGGGAGGTGGGTTGGGATACATCTGCAGTTGTGCTCCCTTTCCCTTTCTGTACTTGCCTAAATTAATTGCATGCTGCTGTGGAACAGTTGGGGCACACTCAGTCCATCCTGAATGTGTGCAGAAGCATCCCCAAGTCACACACAAGGCATTGTACTGTTGCCTGAGAGTGTTCACTTGTGTAAAATCAAATCCTGGGCTCGTGTTCAGGTTTCGTGTATTTTATAACCTCTTCCCTGTCAGTACAAGATACACATCTAATGAGAGCTTAGCAACAAAAACACAGTCTAGGCAAACCACATGAAAAGCCAAAGAATGACATTGTGGTGTTTGGAAAGCTTTAATAAAGAATCTTAATATACTGCTGTGTGTGGAGGGAACTCCTATTCATCAAAAGACTTTTACGGTGAAATAAAGCAGTGAAATAAAGCAGTGAAATAAAGCAGTGTTAACAGGATGGAGTTACAGACTGAAATATTTCTCTCGTGCTTCTCTCCTCCTTCCCTTTTCCTGCCACTTTTTTTTCGTGTGAAAGCCACTGATTTGGCTTCCACATGACACTTCCTTTTCTAATTTATGGGTTCTGTCTCTTCTCATTTTTTTCTGTCTTGATGTGCTTTATTGTTTTGGTTTTGCCCTCCCTGGAAAGACTCACATTTTGTGATGCTTTTCTCCTCTGCTCATCTTTTTCTGGTGTTTTTCTGTCTCTTGCAACTTTTTGCCACACTTACCCTCTTCCATGCATATGTTTTGTCTGTTGGTACCTGTTGTACTCCCTGATTTAGCAAGCTGAGCTGTCGAATATTATGGATTTCTGTCAGACATATTTATTTGTTAATAATATCATTCTAAATGATGGGTTAGTCCAGATGAGCAAACATGACTTGTGGGTTCAGCAGCACCTTTGTGGATGTGTTTTTGTGCTGCTGGGGACTCTGGGAAGGGATTAAAAAGCACAAGGTGAGTCCTGGAGGCAGGAACAGTGTTTTTGGCAGGGTGTTCATCACAGGTGGTGGACTCACTGCTGCTGAATTTGTACTGATCGAGTCTGTCCTCCTGTTAAAGAAAAGGTGGGTGGGATGACTGTTTATCTTTCGATTCTTTGTGAAGAATTGGAAGAAAAAACAACTTCATTTGAACTGTGGGAAAGACAGCTTTGTGTGTAGATGATACAAGGACTGCAATGCTCTACAGAGAACTTTGCTCCTCTGATGCACTTGGGGGAGTTTCACTGTAAGAACCGGTTCATTTCTGCCAAAATTTTAGTAGCAGAGGTGGCTCAGAGGAAAGCAGTTCCTTTATATAAAGGAGGGAAGGGGAGAGAGGGTCCTTGGGTACTGTGTATTCTGCCAGAACAGGTGAAAATGGCATCTCCTGCACAATCCTGAATTCCAAAGGGAGTCACCCAGGAGGCTGCTTTACCTGCCAGCGAGGTGCTCAGTGCTGCCAGCCTGCATGGGGGATTTAGGCACTCGGAGGGGTTCTGGCCACGGTGTGAGCAAGCTGGCTGGGAGTTTACTAACACACCATATCCTGTTTGTAGCCTCAGCTTGGCAGGGCTCCTCTGAAAAAATTAAAGATTCTGTTTTCTGCCATAAAACCCCAACAAGGAGTGGGAGGGGAGTGCAGCTGTCCCGTCCCTGGGTTCAAACAGCACTCTTGCAGCTTGTGTTGCCAGCTGCAGGGAAGTACAGCACTCAGAGCATGAATGTAGTTTTCTGACTGATGCTTGTTAATAACAAGTCTTTCATTTCATCCCATAGATCTCTTGGTTTTATCTGTGTGTGTTTAATTGAGAAATGGCTCTCTCAAAAGCCCTCTGAGAACCTGTTTAGAAGTGATTTAGGTTGCTGACTTCAGGGCTGCGTCCTGTCTTAGTCTTTATCTTGTTTGAATTCCATTGTGAAGTGCCAAACAAAAGCATATCAGAAATAATAATAAAAAAGATACTGTGTAAATAATCGAGTGGTTGGCAAATGTGATGGGGTTTTACAATCCAAGTACTTCAGTCCAGAAGTGCTGACTGTATACACAGTGCCAGTAGGAGAGAGGGGTCACAGAAAGGTGCCTGTTTCCAGCAAGTCTGTGGAATCCTTAGCCAGAGCTGGTGGCAAATGGGAAAGGCCAAACACGTTTAACTGAGAAGTTGAGAGCTGTTTTACTTTGCTAGTGAAGATATTTACCTCTGGGCAAGTGACTTCCACCTTGGCTTAAATGACTTTTTCCTGTGTGCGGTTGGTGCCCCTGCAGTAAGAGCAGGCCTTGCTGAACTGACTGTCCTGCTGAGCATTCTTGTTATACCTGAATGGGCCCAGGGGGTTCCCATTAATGTCCTGGGTGAGAGTGCCTGGACAGATGGTGCTCATCTCTTTTGTTTTCCCCTTCAGTCACTGGTTCCTGCTGTCCCACAGCTGTTCCAGCTGCACTGGCACTGCAGGTTTTGGGAGCTGTGCTGTGGAGAGCAAAGGCAAAGGTTGGTCCTTGGTGATGGTGGTGTCTCAGCTGACACAATGCTCTGGTTTGCTGAAGGTCCTGCTGGCCAGCTGAGAGGGGGATTCCCCACTGCTCACTGGTGGGAGGAGAGGGAACTCCTTCAACCAGAACCAGTTCTGAGCAGGGATCCCTCATTAGCCCCTCCCCGGGCTGACAGAAGTCTCTCTATTGCACTGAAGTGCAGTTTGCTGAGGATGAGCTGTGAGGATGGGTAATTCCTTCAGGAGCTTTAAATAAATTGTTCTTAGCCAGAAAACTCCTCGGAGTCAAGCAGGAGGAGTTGTGTGTGTGCACATGAGCACCTTCCCGTTATCAGGTTTATGATTAAATAGAATCATGTTTCTTAAACAGGTCCAACATGTTAAGCAGCAAAATTTTACTGTGTTGGTTTTTTTGTTGCACTGCTCACCCTTGCTGTCTGAAAATTAAAACAAAATGTGTATGTCAGCCTTCATCACTGACATGGGGCTGGTTAAACCTTTCTCTCTGAGGCTGAAGGGTTCTCCATCAACTTTGCATTATACCTTTAGGCACTTGAACTGTAATCACATCGCCCCTTGACCTTCTTTTGAGGTTAATAGCTTGGACTTCAGGGCTGGATGTGAGACCTGTCTGATCCCTTTCTCTGGCTGTTCAGTTAGCTGTGCTCTGAACTCCCTTCTGTGCATCTGCATCCTTGCACAGCTCTGGATGTGAGGGCTGAACAGGTTCTTACTCAGCATTTCCCCTAATATCCAAGTTCTTACTTTCATCCTTTTTTTTTCCCCCTACTGTTCATTGCTAGTTTATCACTGGCTTTGCAAGTCTGCCTGCTGTCTGTGTGAGGACTGGCTGTGTACAAGTGGGGGTTATAAGGTCAGTGTTAGGACATAAACAGAAAACATGTGCAGTGAATGGAGCACTGGATAAAAAGGCATCAGGGAGCTCTCCTGGGGAGTTGGAATAGCACAGTAACTGCATTGCACTGGGGAAAATTGGCTTTCTGCTGGAATCTCTCCCATTTGGAAGGTTTACAGCAGTCTTAGGCCTTTGGCTTTGCTGAGTTGTGGTTTTTGGTGTTCAGTGGACTCACAGGCAGCCCCAGAGCTCCCGCCCGGGGCCGTTCCCGCTGTCCCGGTTTTCTCTGGAGTTGTGGAGCGATGGGAGCCGGGCACTGTTGGAGGCCTTCACACGTCCTGCTGTGTTTGGGGCAGGTGTGGGAAGGGGTGAGATGCAGAGGGAAGAAGCAGTGTGTGGTTTAAGGTGGGTAATCTCCTGGGGAGCTGTCTGGACTGACACAGTCCTGCTGCCTTGCTGCCAAGCAAACCTGCTTTGGGGCTTGATAGTGGGAGACACTGACAGGCACATTCCTTGGGAGATGGATTTATTGTCAATCACTTTGTATTCCCAAGAATGAGAAATAATTTGTTTTAAGGAACGGCTTTCCTGGAATGCAGGCTTAGAAAATCATCAGTGATGTGTTTGTTCTGTCTTCCTCACGATTATAAAAGCTTGCTTTGTTTGCTTTTGTGGCAGTGTGTTTTGCCACAAGAAGCATTTTGGTTGTGCTGTTCAGATCTACCGGCAAGATTGTGGGTGGGTGAGGAGATTAGTTGAATTTAACACTGATCTGATATGGCTCCTAGGACACTCACATAATCTCCAGCCTGGGTTGTAATTCAAGGAATGCAGAGCTGGTTTACATCTGCCTTGAAGTTAAAAGCAATTCTCTAAGGTAGTTTTGTAGCAGTGCAAGTAGGCGTGGGTGTGTTAACTGCTGGGCCTTGGCAGACTTTGGTTTAGTGGGGTAATGATGTGTGAAGGTGGCTGGGGTAGAGTCTGGGACACACAGCCTGCATGAAGAGACCTGCTGCTGTCACCTGCCAACTGATGGTTGTTTTTTTTGTTTTAGATGAAGGACCTAGCTTGTACTTCTGACTCCCCTGTGCATGTAAGTTTGTGGACTTGATCTCTAGTAATACATCAGTTTAATTTATGACCCAAACTCTCTGGGGCCTAGAAGAAATGAAATCTGAATGCCTGTAGAAAGGAATGTAGAATTAGTCATCCCACACCACCCTTAATGCCAGCTAGAGGCAGCAGGTGGGGATGAAGGAAAAAACTTACTGGAAAATTATAATCCATGATGTAACCTCATCCCATGAAAAATCTCCCTAATTTAGCCTTGGTTAGTTCATCAGAACGGCTCCAGAGAGGAAGCAGGTCAGATCTGTTCTGGGTTTGGTCAAAGATTAGGTGAGCAGATTCGACTGTGTTTGTCTTTGGGAGGCAGTTTGGCAAATTGCAGTGAACCCTCTGTACAAGTCTTGGTGAGAGACAGTCATTTCCAGACACCTCGCTGCCTGCAGTTGGGTCCTGTGAATTTGAACCTATTACTCATCCATTTCCCTTCCTAGAAGTTTTCTGTCCTCACTCTTCCCTCCTAGGATGTGCTGAGGTGAGCAGACAGCTCTGTCACATTGCAGCAGTGTTGCCTCCTTGCAGTACAAAAGCTACTGGTGATGGTTTTGTTCTGAAAATCAGTGGGCATGTGTGATTTCCTGAGCATTACCTTGATACAGTAGGACTGGTGTAAGTTTTAAGTATATATGATCACATCTGTTGAGGTTGACTGAGATGTAATGTCTTGACATCTATGGTTAACACCAAGTCAGTCTGAAAAGCAGAGCAAGGCAGTGCAGAGCCCTGAGAGACACCTTGTCAAAGTGACAAATTGCCCTTTCTGATTCAAAGGACTGGCTTGCATGGCAGAGCTAAGCAGCTACTGGAGAAAGGGGAGGAGAGCATGGGAAAAATACCCTACTTGTTTAGGCCTTCCCCTGTATTTTTTGTTGTTTGTGGCTTTGAGTTGAAGCTCTTTGTTTTCCCTCGCCTGAAAAAACAGCAGGTTGAGAGGAGCAAAGCTCCTGGGATTCTGCCTCTCCCACTTCTCATTCTTATAAACTGTTTACAATCTCCCTCAGTTTTCTAGCTTTGTATGGAAAAGTTCAGTGGGTCAGCTTTCCCTTTAGCTTCATCCATCATTCCAGTCAATTAGAAATAGTTGAGGGCCAATTGCCCGGTCTTCCATTAACTGAGACACTTCAGATTGTTTAAAATAGCATAAAAGGCCTCTTTGTTGGCTGCTGGGCAGGCCCTGTGGGTTTGCCCGTTGATGGGCAGCTCCCGCGTGGCTGAACAGACCCCAGTGTGTCCTGCCACGCTGGAGGGGTGAATATTCCTGCTCCAGGCCTTGTCTGGGTTTGATTCCTTCTCCTTCACCTCCGCCTCTTGCTTTCCCTGAAAGGTGTGATGCCTTCAGAGGGTGAATTACCACGCCTGCTTCCAAAAGAAGCTGCTCTTTGTGGCTTTTCAAAACTTCTGTAGTTGAGGGTTTTTTCCAGTTGCTGAAATGTTCCTTTTAACCTTGGTGCTTTAAAAGCTCTTGGCATTATTTGTTCCTTGCTTGTCGTGTGTGTTTCTAAAGGACAAAGGAAGTGTGTAAGTGTTCAGGAAACAGTTGGTGCATTGTGATGTGGGGCTGAGTTCATTCTGGTACCCCATGCCAGGACAGCCTTCTTTCATTTGGGGCTGGCATTTCTCAGCTGTTCTGAACTGACCAGCCTGAGGGCAGAGTTTGTGTGAGAGCTCTGACAGAGAGCTTGAAGCTTCTTGTAGGTTCATGTGTTTGGGTTGCATTGAAGTGAGCTGAATCTCTTGTATACATACATATATATTTATTTATATATATAAAAAACACATTTTATTTCACAGGAGGAAACAGAAAAGTAAGTTTACTAAACGGAGATCAGTTTATCTGCAGCAAAGTAGATATTTATGTATTCCCATCTTTAAATCATTGTCTGACTTGCAAACTCTCCTTCCAGCATTGTGTGCTGCCTCAGTTGCAGTCCAGGCTGGTCCCTGTGCTCTTTGTTGCTCCAGAGCCATCGTGCCTGGATGTGCCATCATTTGATCCTGGCTGGGGGCTGTGTGTCCCAGCAGTGCCAGGGCTGCAGTCCAAGCTGACCAGCATGTGCCCATCTCTGAGCCCGTCCCAGCCAAGGGGCAGCCACAGGAGACTGTCCTGCTCTTGGGCTGTGGTGAAAGAAGGGGGCTCTGACAAGGCAGGAGGATGTGACAGTAATCAGACTTGAGTCTTCAGCTGCTGAGGAAGGAGTTGGATCTTTTACTGAAAAAAATCTGCCACAAATAGACAGTTCAACAAACTGCAGCAGTGATTTTCTTCCTCTCTGATGTCCTAGTCTGATGAAGATCTCAGGATAGACTTTTTTCAACTGCTGTGTTTCTGCAGACTTGTCTTTTCTGTCTTCCTTTCTCCTCCACGTGCCTTCAGCAAATAACAGCTTGAGGATATGGCGAGCTGGAAGTGCAGAGCTGAGTTGGAAAGAGACCAGTGGGGCAGAACATCAACCCGAGACTTGGCTCCGACAAAACCAACGTTTGCTTGCTTTACACTTGGAAATAATCTCATGCTTTGCAAAGATTGAAGCTCTAATAAGTAGTTTAAACAAAGAGTAGTAGAGGAGAGAGAATCCACATTTAATTCAATTAGCATTGTTGTCCAATGCCATTAATTATGCCCAGACTTGCAGTGTGTTTCACAGGAGCTGATACACTTGAGCTTTGTCTGTGCTGGGGTTGGCTGAGGACAAGTATGTCCACTTATGTAGAATTCAGCCTTTGTGCTTTGCAAAAACCTTCAAATTTGGAATCTGACAGTAGCCTGGAGTAAGGAGTAGCCAGAATAGCCTGCCCTGCAATCTTATGAACAAAGGGGATCTCGGGGAGAATGATGATTCAATGTACATGTACTTGTTTTCAGTGTTCTTGAAGAGGGACTGCTTTAGTGGAAGTAATAATCTCCTGCAATTTTATATTATTTCCAGACTGTTTAAAATTGTTCCATAGGCAGAGAATAAAGAATTTTGTTTACTGTCTCAAGGTAGGATGTCTGATCCTCCTGAGGGAGGATATTCTTTTATTAAAACAGATATAAAATAACTACTTTGATGGCAATATAACTCTAGGAATTGAAATGGTGATGATTACAGAAGCTGTAGTATTCTAATGCAAAATAAGCCCTAGGAGATATGTGCCCTAAATGGTGAATCACTGTTCTTTAACAAAACAAGAATTACTGTTATTTTATGATTCTTACTTATTTTACAAGGTCTTTAACTGTTTCATCTGCACTTAACTTTTACGGACTGGGGATAAATTGATTGTTGCTTTGTGTTTTAAATAGCATGTCTTTTTTAGAGCACACCAGAGATGCAAGAACAGATCAACAGGATAGAATTTGGTCTCAAAAAGGCAAAAGTAGAGAGAGAAGTCAAGACTGCTGATACTGTGTGCAATAACTGCTTTGGAATCTGTTCTCGTAATTTGGTGGTATTTTGTAATCTTGGAAGAAGCCAAAGATTATTATTTGAAAAGGACTTAGTGGGTAATGCTCAGCAATCTGCAGGGGGGGATATCACATTGAAATGTGTGTGTTTATTGTAGGAGAACCCTTGCATCCATTTTAGGGGGTCTGTGGGATCCCTGAGGGCACTGGAGACCTCACTGCCCTGACCAACTGCACGTGGGGCTTGTGCCCAGAGACCTGGCAGCTCTGGTGTTGAAGCTGAGCCCTCAGCCCACACCCAGGCTGTGCTGGAGGAGCAGTGGGGGGTATGTGTGTGCTGGAGGAGGACTGGTGTGCCTGGCAGTGGCCATGGACCCCGCCAGCTCAGAGCCCACAGCGACCTCGGGCCTGCCTGTCTGTCCCTGTCTGTCCCTGTCCCTCATCCTGACCCTGCTTTGCTGCCCAGGCTGCCCTCGAGCCTCCCCATCACTGTGACACTGCCCTGGGCTGGGCCTGGCTGCCAGCTCAGCTCTGTCCTGCTCCCTGGGGTGCTGCGGGTGTGGGCACCAGCCAGTGAGGCCCTGCCCAGCCATCCCTCAGGATCCCCTAGTGCCACATCCCTCAGGATCCTGAGGATCCCTTAGTGCCACATCCCTCAGGATCCCCTAGTGCCACATCCCTCAGGATCCCTTAGTGCCACATCCCTCAGGATC